GATTATTACTTTTTGTTTATCATTCAATAATCAATAGACCATCGTTTAACATAAGTTTAGATATAGCATTTTTGACAATGAGTGTGGTTCAAACTATCACAAACTAATCTGTAAATGGTTATCTAGTCCCACAGTTGGCTCTTATTAGAATAATTACAAGTCAGATGATTTTAGTTCAAAAAAGTCGAAATTCGTCAGCTAAGCACAAATATGCATACATAAAGATTCAGTTTAAAATACTAATTGAGGGATCCAATCTCATAATACAATCATTTTATACGTGGCACTAAACAAACCCACACTACAGTACCAAGTATTTTACAGAATAAATGCTACTGAGACTATTAGGTCTTCCAGTTACACAGACAAAAAGGTTATTTTATTATTATGATTAGTTTATACCCAACATAATAACAATCTAAATAAGAACGATAAGTTTGCTTCTACTTAAAAAACGAAACTGATTTATGACTGATAATTAACTTGAAAACGATGGGTGTCGGTTGACAGAACGGGAATATAATTCATGGACGATCTCCGAGCAATGCAAAAATGACCTGTAGAATATTCTTCTACGTACCTGGGTTAAAATAGTGTAATAAATTAGTGAGGAATTAATAATCAGATTTTAAGCTGCATATAAGCGTTATGAATCAGATTTGGAGGTTTTTCGCAAGAACTGTAATTAGCCATAACGCCCTAATGCTATTAAGTCAAACGAATGAATAAATTACGCGCCAACAACCAAGATTTACTGTCTCGAATGTAAATGGTTCGTCCATAAATAATAGTCCAGTAGTAAGTCCTTTACTTATAAACCGGATATGTGAGAACTTCTATGAGCCTCGAATAGAACCCAAGATCCTCCGCAGAAAATAATCAAGAAAAACGTAGTAACAAATCAGAGCAAATGACAAAACAGTTAACTAAAAAGTTAAAGTTAAGCTCAGTAACCTAAAACTAATTGTCGCTCGCAGCGGTTGGACAGTAATCTACGGAAAAAAAATCAAATTAAAGACAGACAGTCTTATATTTTGACGCGAGATTTATTCCTCTCTCTTACGAATGGCATTTCCGCATCGTACCTGATGTGAATTCATAATAAAAAATTAAACTAAAAATCTAAACACGGACATTAACTACTACTTCGTACACCTAACACTTGTTATTGATCCGCTTTTTATGCTGAAAATAAGATTAATAACCAAGAAGCATTAGTTCACTTCGAAAGCAATCTAACATTTCCACTTTTTGTTAGAAAGCTGTAATTAAAATTAATAAATCAGTCAATAACCAAAAATGTGCATAGAGATATACACAGATAGAAAATAGAACACGGTGCTCATACTTACGAAAAACCTCTGTCAAAAATAGTAACTAATCCCAGACTTGATTATTAGCACCTTGTTTGTATCATCAGTTCGAGAAATGACCTACAGACTTGTTTAACGAGCATAGGAGAGTAACGAGAGAGTGGCATAAAAAAACAAAACTTTCCTCAATCACGTCAGTACAATCTAAGTTTGATCAAAATATACTATTTTTCTAAATTTTCACCTCGAATCAAAAACACTGACTACGCTTTTCTTGACAAAAGACTGTGCGAGCATTTGTTGTTTCATTTTAAATAGGGTTTCTTTACTTCTAATTAAGTATTTTACATCCATATTTCGGTCTTTGTCAATGTCCTCTAACAAGCTATAACTTTACTAGAAGTCATAGGTTAAATTCTATGGAAATATTTCAATAATTCTATGTAAATAACTCTCAAAAATAACGAATATTGTTAGCACTCGACAAAGATACCGGTGTGGACGCTACTAGATGGTGAATAGCTACTAGACAATAATCCAAGTTCAAGGCACAACCCAACCAAAAACCTTATTGTTTCTCCAAATATGCGATTGAATCTCTGCCCCAATGCCCGGACATTAAGGCCTTGTGGCTCATTTATATTCTGGACGAATTGTCCAAGGATAAATGGTAGACAGTTATTGTCCAATTCTTTCTAAGTCATTTATCTTCGTGGGACACAGGAAGAAGAACTATAAATCAAACAAAGTTCAAACTACGTTTTGAATTTCTCTATCACAGGGAATGATTTTGAAATCATTCCTATGTATTTCGAAGTTGATATTGAGTCGAAATTATAAAAACTGATCCAAGGCTTTCCAGGAAGCTACAGTTTTTCAATATTGACTAGACCAGAAGCAGTAACTCGTTAATGTATATCACTTTTCAGATATTTGACTTCGATTTTGGATGACTCAGTTTTAGCAGACTATCACCGCGAAAGAAGAAAAATGGATAAAGTGTGTAGAGTGCCCGATATAGTCCTTAAATACACCAGTACTGCCAAACATAGTGAACAACGGAGATGCATGTGTAGACGCTTCTGTAACTGATATCTCACCAACTATAAAAATATGACAAAAGCTTCTGATAGAGTCATTCATATAAGTTTCATCAGTAAGCTTAAAATGTTAGACATCAAGCCACCTTTAATCAGATGGTTATCTTCTTATCTGAATGATCCATTTCTCAAGGTTAGGGTCAACGATAGTTTTTCGCAGGATACTTAATGTCCACGTGGAGTCCTTAACAGTTCAACACCAGTACCATGTGTCTTCTTTACTTAATCGAATCACCTAGCTCAAAAAGTAACTTTTGAGCTATTACTTTCCAAACTTCAAGGAGTTGTTTGTATCCAAGCTGGCAAGCTGGTCCTTCGGGATGATCTGACTCAACTTCGAAGTAGGACGGACGTATTTCTTACGCTTCAAAGTGAAAAGTGATTCATCTGGTACATGCTACTGACCCTATAAATTCCTTGCGGAGGTATCCCAAGTTGAAACTTATACTTAACTTGTCAAAGAGAGGCTGTATGACGGAATCAACTTCCGGACGACCGATAAATTTGTCGCTTAGCTTGTTCTGATACAGAAGTCCGATTACGCTTAGCGCCTTTGAACACTGATTTCTCACTTTTTTGAACCAATTACAAATGTTTTCATCACTAGTTCGTTCGTTATTTGTGCAATATGATATTTTAAGTTTCATATTGAAAGATTGCATCTTCTTATGACAGTGAGTGGCTTTTAACATGTGAAGACCGTTTGTGAGACAAACTGTTTTCTTATACACAAGTTCGTGTGTGGTAAAAAACAATAATGAGTGTCCATTCAAAGATGGAGTTGTCTCTCAGTTCATCTACTGTAGATCAACCTCAAACCTGAAATATCTAGCCAACTGGAGTTTAAACGCCTAGCATCAGAATGATGTTTTAGCTCAGGTACTGGATAAAGCGTAAGCTTGATAAATGCAAATCACGTTAACATTTATTATCTCCCTTCTCTGAGACGTGTGTTATGATGTGAATATATGACTCACATCAGTTGTTAACAATAGTATAATTCTTATACAAGAAGGACTGGTGAAATTGCGACATCTTCCAACAAAGGTGCAAGCCACAGTTTAGGCATGTGGTTCCTGATATTTATTACCTCTAGTCATCCTTTGAAGCGGTCTATCGATGGTTTAAGAGGGAGCCCAGTAAATCGCGGTAAACGACTTCAGATTGAGAGTTGAATTCCTGAAAGAGCTTAAAGGACACTTAATACGTCTTTCAATTTCGGATTTTTGTTATATCGCACTGCATAATACCGACTCAACACGTTACTGTTCAAACAACAACCGCGAAATTGTCCTCTTTATAAGCTGAGCTACTGCTAGGAGCATAAGGGATAAAATTTCTGTAGGAAGTATTTATAAAGTCTTATATACACGTTGAGCATTCATTCTCGTTTAAGATTTATCTGTTCTCTAAAACTAAACTAGTTCCGTAGAAGACAAATACCTTCACGGTCATTATTAAGCTTAGAATCATCACAGAGTCTCCCCTAGTTTAGTATTTCCGAATATTTACAGCAGTCAGAAGACAGTTAGCATGGTAGTTGTGGTGTTATATGTGATGTTCTTTGTTTGATATGGAATTTTCGACAGTCACTTTCAGTTCAAGCTACCTATTTAATATTATTTGTTCAAAAAAGAAAACCGTACATTCGGCTCTATCTGGGAGCAAAGTAGAACCAGAAATTGAAGTACAATAAAAAGAATGTTTGATGTTTTACAATTTGAAATTTGACAAATAATAGTGGGATCTTTAGTAAGTCCCAGATAATTTGAGACTAATTTACTGATGAGAAAAACTACTAATGGCACCTTGGAGATCTTCAATTCCACTTCAGAGCTCTGGTGATCGAGATAGTTCATTAGCCAGGTCATTTAGAAGCAGCATCCACTTTTCGTGGTAGCCTGGATAAGACAAGTTTTCTATAAAGTGCTTCAGAGCACGTTCGCTCATCGATACCATCCTTCGTTATGGAAATAATATTTAGAACCAAGTCTCAAAATTTGTCCAATAGCAAGAAATAAATAAAAAAAGACTACATCAAGAAGGGTAGGTTATATTCATCTAACGAGTAAATGATTGTGAAATTGTCGAAAAAGTAGGTATTAAGTTTATAAAGGATATTTCGGGCTATCATTAAAAACAGTTGGAATCTTTTATCTTTTGGTTACGTAAAGTAAAGCATAGTTTTCTTTTGAGTAGTACATAACACTTAGTTTCACAATCCGCATTCTATTCCCTCCAGAACTGACCGTCCTGGGAGCCAAAATGGAAAGGTTGAGAATGTAATTGAATAACCTTGTGATTCAGACTACAATGAGCATTAATCAGAATGATTTGTTAGCAAAACTGTCACCAATCTCACTGAAGAACCATTTTAAAGAAAAGCAATGATATCTTAAAAATAAACCATATAATGAAAGATTATCCGCTGGACGAACGCATACAAGGTCATTGAATTTCCAAACATGGTAAATAATCTATAAAATAGACAGTCATGATCATATCGAGAATTTCCTACAATACTTTACAACGAAGGTCACCAAACTGTTTTTGTTTTAACTACTCGGAGAAATCTGATCGTCAGATAATTGCGCAGTGTTTGACCGTCTGAGCAACTTTCTGGATGGTTTGTTCGAGTTTTACTTGTACTTATGGATGTATCTGGTCAAGATGCAAGCAATCACCGTACTGATTCTTCTGAAGGACCTGTAACTGTCGCGCAGGCAAAATATGATCCGTTTTTTACTCGAAACCTAAGAGTTATTGAGGATTTGCTAATTGATGAAAGACGATACCACAGCACTCCTGGATATTGCGTTTCACAATCTCCTGCAAGAACGATATGGATGAGACGATCCCTTCTCAATTGGCTTCGAGATGTAAGTTAATATGAATTAGGTTCCTACAGCTATCGTAGATCTGCATTCATCGAGGGACTGATGGTGAAGTCCTTGCACATACTGCACAGTTGATTGACCGTTATATGCACATAGTACCAACGGAACAAAATGAGTATCAGCTTGTGGGTGCGACGTGCTTCTTCATATCCAGCAAACTGAAAGAAACTATACCTATAGCTTTAAGAAAAGTCACAGAATATACAGCTAATTCATTAACAGAACAAGATGTTTTAGTAAGACTAATTTTCTCTACATTGATTATATTCCAGGCCAAAGAACTTACTGTGTGTATATCACTCATGTGGGATTTAACATGCATTACTCCAGTAGATTTTGTCGCTCCTGTGGTAGAATTCCTCGAGTTCGTACCTAGTTTACGTCAAATAATACGCCAGGCTGCACTTTGTATATACATTAAAGCCTTTCATGGTAAGAAATCAATTGTCTACTTTTGGTGTTAAACCTTTCTCACAGTATAATATGATTCTTAATGTATTTCATTCAGCGTATCACTTGTGCAACCTGATTTCGCCCGTAAGTAGTTGATCCCATGTCCAACCTATATGATATCTAGGCGTCGATGCCTAAATATCATCCGTTGTCTAGATCTTGAGCTAACAAACCCATTATTGTAATTGCTAGCGTATCCCCAACATTGGGTGTAGCTTTCACTTGACGTGGTCCCAATTAGCAAGCAGTCACAGAAATTAATTTGGTTTCACCTGTACGTATGACAGACCACAACACAATGTCCTGGAATTATCCTTAATTATATGCTGCTTAACTCAACTTTAAATTGTGGGAGGCGCTTTAGTGTCTGTTGAAACCCTCAAAAAGTTTCATTGCAGAGCCTTATCCCTGTGTGGTGCTCTACCGATGTGTGACCAATATCAGTCGATTAACCTGGTGTTTCCCAAGATCAATTTATTGTTTTTCAAGCACTACACTGGCACTTAATTTACCCTCAAGAATGAATTTGTAGTTAAGTACCTCAAATCAGCGTTTTGTCATGCCTAAACCTTGTCTAATCCCTTTTTTGTCGATTGATTCATGTGTTTGTTCAGAGAGTCCTCCTTCCTTTTTGAAAAGATCCTGTATACACACGCGTATGTAACTACTCAGGGAAATCCCCACTTTTCTCGTGGCGGGGTTACGAAGCTGAAAGAAAGGAAAGTGAATGTCTGGTGCTTAAGTTGCCTCCATTTATACGAAGTACCCACCTACGGTGACATACATAAAAAACGTCGATTTAGTTCACGTGAATCCTAGCTTTTCAGCTAAACTAACTCACAGAACCAGAAAGCTTATCAAAACTTATATGGTTTCGGTCTCGGCTCCAGATGCTGACTACGGTTTTATCACCAAACATATTTTCAGACTAAAAACTGGTGGGTATTTTTTGAATAATGGGTTTTATAGTAGTGTCATGTTGAGACGTACCAAAAGTGCTCATGGTGACTCATTTACTATTTTCAGGAACCATGCTATGTAATGAATAGACTGTTCGATCAAATAATCAGCCCTATCTGTTTTCAAACTTCAATAGTGTTCATGCATTTGGAATCAAGCAACTCTCGTCTTGCCTATCAAAATTTAAGTCCGTCATGTTAATACTTGTCAAAGCAATATCTCCATCTGAATTACGACAATCGATCTTTTATCTGGTGTTTTTCTCTACATGTCTGCGTGGATGCGTAGTACCCAATCGCAAGCAAATTTCACTGATTTCCCTAATTTTTACAGCTTGTCATAGGCTAGAAGTTCATCTATGAATCACTGCATACTGCACAGCAGTTTACTCCTTACTTATTTCAACCAGGAAACGTGGTCTGTAAAAAATATTTGATCGTTGTTCCTGTACTGTGAAAATGTGGAGTTTGTGAAACAGGAATTGTGTAGGGTTGAATTAATGAGTCGATTATAATCATGTTTGACACACGTATTACCTCTACTAACAATGTTGCTGGAGCAATATTGTAACAAAAAACTGGATATTCCCAGTACCTATAGGGTCTTTGCTCTAAGTGTAAGTCACGCAAGAAGGTATGAACTTTTATTATTGTTTTTAATGTAACCATGACCTGTAAAACCATGTAACAATTCGAACCGATGCAATGATTTAGTTGTAGTAACTTACCAAACATTAGTTTTCTAGTATTTACACTTTTGATCTTTAAGTCCCAAGTGTAGCTTAATTACAATTTTTCCTGTTTCTTACTGCGCTAAGACATGTTACAATTTGAACCGGTATACATTCATCCTATATGAACTCATTGATTGTACAGATGACAAACAAATTACTGATTGTATTCCGCTACACCTCAGACAAATTCTTGGAAACCAATCTGGGTGACATTCATTCACTCCATGATTCCCTACATCACGAACCTCTTGTTACATTTCCAAACATATTATGGCGTTCATGCTGTGCTTTTATATCTTGATGTTGGTTCAGTTTCTGCACTTGTTTTTGTCTGGGCTACTCAAAAGTATAACTTTTTGAATCGGTGTTTTTTCATTGACGATTTTAGTACTCAATCATTCGCCACATAGTAACTTCGATTAAATTTTTTCGGCCAATCTACCGACCAGCAGCAGAAGTTTTCATTATCTGCATCCCATGGTTTTTTCTGATTTGGTTTATTTTCAGTGAACTTTTTATTTTGTCTTTAGTTGAAGAGATCAATACTTACATGCCTAGCTACATAGCAGCTGCGTGTATACTTTATGCTTTGAATCTAACTGTTCATCAAGATTTAAGTGATACTGCTATCAGATCAGTCACTCGCATTCAACGAATTTTGAGGCTTGAAGCAGTGAGTTCTTTTAGAATAGATTGGTAATAGTTTTATATTCTTTTGTTTTAATGCTCTAAAAATACCAGTGAATAAGTAGTCTCAATAAAAGTTATATCAAATGGTCGTTAATACATATTTCTCTTATTCTCCAACACTAATTTTATGTGTGCTTATTAGACTCCAAACGAGTAAAGACGGCATCTTAGCTATAATCTTCACGAAAAGCAGTATGTACAAGATTTCTGGCTAACAGATAGTATGCATCAAATCTTAAATATTTTGCAGATCGAAAGGTTTCACTATATTTTCGAATCAAAGTTCAAAAATCTTTTTTATTTCACATAAAGGTTGATTTTATTTTACTTAAAAGATTATTTGTTGCTATACTCAGTTTTTGTTTTAATTTGGCTCTTATTGTCAATCACCTGGTATTGCCCAACCACCGATAACCTCGAGGAGCAATCGTTTGCAATAGGGGAGTAATACGGAAGAAAGCTAGGGGCGACCAAACCAAACAAACCAATAAAGACACTGACAACTGGAGTGAGTCGTGTTAGTAAATGTAGGCTACCAGGTTGGGGTCCACAAGACAACGCGTAACTGATGGTTAAAGACTTTGAATGATATGGCTGAAAACCTTTTACTATGGCCCAGGTGCATCCACCCTTTGTCTTCTCTCGAAAATCTTCAGAATTTCTCATGACCGTTATTTTATTTGTAAATTTACCTCACTGAATCATACTTCTCAAATGATGTCTTCTAACTCTAATCTCCATTACCGCTAATGCATGTGCTACTATGGAATATGAACGAACAATTCTATCTCTATGCTAATGTGTTATGGCAACTTGAACTGATGTACGTATGTACCAAGTTGTACATTGCAGCTAACTGATTACTTGGTATATTCAGTTTAAAAGCTCTTCGAAATTTTATGGAGTATGGTTAACACGTTAAAAAAGGTATATAAAATTTCTACTGCATAATGCTAGAGATATCTTGAACAACTCATTTCTTTCATCCTTAAATTTTCCAACACGTAACACGCAACAAAAAAATAACTCATTAAGCTCTTTTTTTACTTCATTGCTTTCAAATCTAGAAAAGCCTTGTTTCCATTATATGACTATATCGTTAAAGTGCTTAGTATCTCAATTTTTAGTCATCGATAAATTGGCAACTGTAACTTAATCGCCCTGATATCGTTTAAAGCAATGTCAACTATGAATGACGTCATAAATCTGTTTTGACCGTAAATGTACATTCTCTTTACGTTTAACAGCACACTACACCAAAGATAATCTTATTTAACAAATACTGGAAATTTTCTGGGTTCTCTTTAACAAATCTTGACCTATAGTATCCAGACCATTGTCATGCAATCACTGATTGTCAGCTCTTGTTTGTTGTTTAGTAAAGTGGATTTGTAATTTAAAAAGTTTGATGGTATGGTTTTTAGTAAGTAGCTCTAGAAGCCTTGATACCTACTGATTTGTTGCAACCCAGATATTTATTATTGCAAAGAAAAAACCGATATTCCGAGGACCTTAATTAATAACTAACTAACATTTTACCTCTCCATTTGCAGCGTAAAATGCGTGAGGCCTATCAGATCCTGCAAGCTTGCTTTGAACCTGGAACTGTGCAACTGTCAAATGCTGTGCTAGAAGGTGATTTAGAACCCCCTGACAGTCCCGTGCGTGAAGTACCAGTTCACCTTGTTCATCAATTACATCCTTCTACCACAACACCGGTTAATACAACTGTACTACTTCCGATAGCAAATAGTATGTATATCCCTCCTCATCTTGACTCGTCTAATCAATCTCTGCTGACTTCTGTTGATATTCCTTCTCTATCTACCTCCATGGTTTTTGTAAATAACAGCGTTAACTTCGACCGTAGTTGTAAACCCACAACATCCGCTTCTCTTTCAGCATGTTCTACCTCATCCCCACCTTCAGAAGCCGAAAATATGGGATTAACTGATCTTGAGAATGAACATTCCCGATGTGCTTATAATAATAGATCAAGGTTATCTATGCCGTTAATTCATTATTCTCATTCTACCCAATTTTGTCATAATTCTAACGTATCAGCTACTGATAAATTAAGTGAACGAAAACTGATACCATTAGTTTGGGAAAATTCAGTTTCAAATAGAACGAATCAGTATAAGTAAATTTCATATATCTGTTATTGTATTTCACTTGTTCTTCTAAACGATTGGTCAGTTGTATTTAATAATTTCCTTACTTGTATTTCTTTGTATTTCATTTTTATGGGACAATTGCTTGCTACTTTTGTAACCTTTAATCTAAATCAGTTTTCCTGAAATATATTATCATTTTCGCTTAACTTAATTCCGCAAACGCTGACACAAGTTGTCCACCCCATATGTGTTTCATATAAAAGCTCTTACTTTTGTATAGTTTTCTTTTTAACGGTGTTTAACGTGATTACTTCCATCGACTTACCATTGCTTTACCATTTGGGTAGATTCGCTTCGGTTATCTATCGACACTATGATAAATTCAGTGTTAAACCTATCTGTCAGTCTAGAGACTTGCTGTAAATCCACCTCTTATAGACGAGCTGTCTTCGTAAAAGCATTTGAGATATCTAGTCTGTTATTATTCAGCGTTGAATTCATATCGTTCCAGATCAGTAGTGTTGCCAAGTCACGATCAAAATAGATTGCCAGTGATTATTGTAAACAGTTTTGAGCAGATATTCCATATAAAAGGCTACCACATTTTGAGCAGTTTTCGATTATAATAATTGATATTTGGACGTTTACCTTTAGGGTTATATAAATTCACTAAGTAATCTGTATACAACATCAAACTTTCCAGTTATCTTTGAATTTCTATTGACGATTGTTGTTACGCTTAATCTTCAACATTAATAATTCAGTTCTTAAAACATTCAAGATTATGAACTGTTATGTAGACGCTAAGTTGATACAAATACTCATTAAGACTCCAGTTAGTAAGGTTGTTAGGAGAGGTGAGGCGTTTATTGATATTCACTTCAGTTCATACTTTTTCTAGTGAGTCACGCTTCAGATCGATCAATGTGCTACAAGCAAAGTTTCATAGCTTTAATTTACTTATAATCTCATAAATTAATTTTAGAATATTACTACTCTTCTCAAAAGCAACTGTGTAATACAGGTTATTAATTAAAAAATAGTTGAAACATTACAAACATAGATTCTGAAGATCACATGCTTCGCTGGCGAAAGTATGATCTACTAGGAAATCGAGTCCATTATTGAGTAGCACACATCTCTGTGTCAAGTCAGCTTGTCGGCGTCATGACACTGGTAGATGTGCGGCTAATGATAAGCATATTCAGGTGAATTCGCTTGACCAGAGCGATCTTTAGATTTAACAAACCTTAAAGTAAATTCAACTGAAATGAGTCTCTTTATTCCTAGCTCTATTTTGTTTTCTTAAAATGACAAATTTACATCCAAAATGTATTGTACAAACATTTCCATATAAAAATCTCTCCAAACTTCGTTAAACATGTTTTATTGGGACTGGAAAAACAATAATTACTGCGAGACATTTTAGTGAGACAAAACTGCTACCAATTCCATCATAGTATATCTAGGAAAACCGCTTTATTGCCCTTCAAACCATAGATTCATGTAGAAATATTCGGTATACACACTACTATTTTTACTTTCCACAGCGTTATATTTATGGTTGCAAATATTCGATTCTAACAGTTTGTTTTTTGTCTTGCCTTTTACTGAGTTCCTATCACGCAAAAATAATGTTAGTCAACTATCTAGGCCCTATATTTTCTTGGAAACTATAATAAGAGTACCTATAAACGAGAAGTCTCCCGAAAATAAGATAGTGGAAAAGCATATCAAGAATCCTCTTCATCCAGTCTAACCCACTCACGACCGAAGCTGCTACATTGACGTGGTGGTCAGGCTTGCCTATCGTGATTACTCAACCGAGCTATATTGGCTGGAGCTTATGTTCCTGAAGGTTCTTCCATGCCAGGCAGGTCGATTGGAGAACGATGAGACCAAAAGCTGCTACTCAAGGTCTGAGGGCGAAGTCGTACTGCTGACTGCAGAGGGGTGTGACGGCAGTAAGGAGTTTCCCTCGGACAACCAGCATCTGTAGCGATGCTGCCTTCTCACAAGGAAGGAAGGAAGAATTAGAAAAGGTCGACCCTAAAAATGTCACACCTCACCCTACCTCACGGATTTCCGTCTCCTTGGGTAAGGGTGCCCAGTAAGGACCTTTAAGAGCTGAGCTAATCCTCAAAAAACCTTACATAAAAAAGCCGTCCGTGACCGACCTCAAGCAATTGTCCCTTGGACTCTGTGATCACGCTCCCAGGTTTCCAAGACCAACACTAATCTACCTTCCTTTTCAGGTTCCTCAAGAAACAACCTTCTACTGTGCGGGCAACCGGGAAGTGACATCCGCCCTCATACCTGTCACAACACGAGAGACCAAATTGGTCGAAATCAAATCCTTACTACACCCCCTAATACCTCTCTTCTCTCCACGACTAACTCTTCTCACATTCATTTATCACAGTGCACAGCTAATGCAAACGATGTGAGTTCGCGAAACGTCGTTCCTGGTCTCCTGAAACCCCGTTCTAAATTACATGTTGGAGCATTTAATGAACGGACATTGTGTCAAATAGGGCAACAGGCGTCATTAGTTAGGACTTTAGAATCTCGCTCAATCGATGTGTTCTGCGTCTCGGAAACGCGCATACAAGATCTAAGTATAGTTATTATTTAGATTTCACCATACAAATACAAAGAAGCATCCCGATTTTTTCTTCGAGTATCCGGTAGCCCTGATGCTGCTTCCAGGGGTCTCGCTGGCGTAGGTATAGCATTGAGTCCTAGGGCAGAACTATCTCTCCTAGACTGGATCCCAGTAGATAGTCGCTTGTGCGCCGTCCGACTAAACGGGACAGTAAGGATTCGAAAGGATAGGGACACTCGTCGTTGCCTCTTCGTCATATCTGCCTATGCCCCCACTGACTGCAGTTCAGATGATGTAAAAGATGAGTTTTACAGAAGGCTTTCAGACCTCCAAAAAGTTAAGCGCTCTGATATAGTTATAATGGCTGGTGACTTCAATGCTCAAGTAGGTAGACTAAGTGAAAATCAAAGACACCTAGGTGGATGTTATGGTCTGGCGGCTCAAAGAACGGACAATGGCGACCGTCTGTTGCAACTGTGGTCAGATAACCTATTTCTAGTAAACACTAATTTAAAGCTTAAGGAGAAACATCCGTTGACCTGGCGACCCCCAAAGTCGTCTCAACGTTGGACACAACTAGATCATATCGCCAACAGCCACCGATGGAGGGATTAGGTAGAAGACTGTCGCTCGTTCTGGGGCACATGTTTAGATTCAGATCATGCCCTAGTGCGAGCTCGTATCTGTTTGAGGCTTATTGGACGTAGGAAAGACACCGTAAGGAAGCCTCCTAGGGTTTTACTTAATGATAATCAAGCTAAGAAAATATTTCAAGAGGAACTAGAAAAACAGTTAGGCGACCATGGAAGTGATTCTGATCTGGGGTCAGGTTGGAATGATATCAAGAAGGCTGTGGAAACAGCAGTGACATCTGCTAGCAAGGTAAACCATAAGGCTAGGATTAAACCGTGGATTTCAGTCGCATCTACGGAACTGATGGATGCTCGAAAACGCATCCCACCTGACTCTGAACATGATGACCAGCGTAGTCAGCTTAGGCGCAGACCTATAAAAAGCCTACGTAACGACCGTGAACAGTGGTGGTTGGCAAAAGCGATGAAAAAGGCAGCGGCGATAGGCAACAGTAGACAACTTTTCCCTCTTATTAAAGAAACTGGTATTAAGAACCCGAATGTGAGTGAGACTATCTCGAAAAAGGATGGTCTTATTATCCATTCTCAATCCAGGTGACTGGACCGATCGGCAGAACACTTTAGGGATCAGTTCAACTGGCCTCGAGCCACACTTCCGTTGCCCGCGATCTCCAGTCATCCTGAATTGCCAATCGATTTACGTCCTCCCGGGCTACATGAAGTTGAGAAAGCTATAGGAAATCTGAAGCGAAGTAGAGCAGCAGGAGCCGATAGATTGACTCCTGAGATTTTTAGGAATGATGGTCCAGTTTTAACAGTTAGATTGACCGAGATCTTAGGTAGAATCTGGGAACTGGACGTAATCCCATCTGACTGGTCCCAATCCTGGGTTGTCCCAATTTACAAGAAAGGACAAAAGTCCTCTTGAGACAACCACAGAGGAATAAGTCTAACTAATATAGTGTCTAAATTGTTAGCCTAAATTATCCTTAGACGCTTAAGAAGAGCTCGTGAAGAGCAGACTTGAGAAAACCAGTCTGGTTTCAAACCTGGACGTGGCTGTATATACATGTTCACACTACGGCAGGTCCTGGGACACACACACATTTAGACGTCCGACAATAGTTGTGTTATTGGAGCTAAAAGCGGCATTTGACTCAGTGGTTCGTGAGATTCTGTGGCAATGTCTGTCAATAAAAGGTGTACCAAAGAAGTACATTAACCTCATACAAACTCTCTACTCGAACACCACTGGTCGAGTGAGAGAGAGCATATGGCGAACTGTCATCTGAATTCTCTACATCAAGTGGTGTCCGTCAGTGCTGTCCACTATCTCCATTCTTGTTTAACTTTGTCGTTGACATCCTCTTACAGTTAACATTCAGCTCGTCAAGATTGGGTTGCATCGGCACCTGAACTAGTGATAGGGTGTGAAGTAGTCGAGCGTGTAGACCGCTTCACTTATCTTGGGATTCTCGTCAGCGCTGATAGCCTGGTGACTGACGAAATCTCAGCTCGGATACAGACAGCTCGATTGGCTTTTGCCAACCTGCGTCACTTATGGCGTAGGCGTGATATCCGTTCGCTAACCAAAGGACGGGTGTACTGCTCAGGAGTTCGCTCCGTTCTCCTATATGGATGCGAATCATGGCCGTTAAGAGTAGAAGATATCCGTCGGTTACTAGTATTCGACCATAGATGTTTAAGAAGCATTGCTCGTATATCGTGGGACAACCGAGTAAGCAATGCTGTCGTTAGGAAACGAGTACTAGGTAAGAATGGCAGATAAATTGACGAAGTATTCAAACTTCATCAGTTGAGTGATTGAGACATGTATTAGGTATGCCTAACCACCAACTGCCTCGACGAGCTGTGTTTTGTGGTGTAGGAGTCGGTTGGAAGAAAATTAGTGGCGGCCAGACCAAAACATGGCAGAAATCCATGAAGTCACTGTTAGGTGGACTGAGTCATGTTGGTAGATGTAGACTACCTGGTTGGGGTCCGCAAGATGAAAGTCACCGATGGTTAGAGACCTTGAACTACATGGCTGAGAATCGTTTGCAATGAC